TTAAAGCTCATTTTAAGAAATCTTATTCTCATTCAAGAATGAGATTATTGGAGCATTTTGACAAATCAAACTCAGTTGAATTGTAATCAGTAAATTACTGAATATGGAACAGGGAAATAGGTTAAGAAATAAACTTATCTTGTAAAGTCGAATTAGGTCAAAAAATAACCAATTGGAAGCGAAGACACCCAACAAGGAAACGAAATGCAATCCTTTTTAACGAGAAACCTGGGTATAACTAGTGCTTCATCTAAGACACTGTGAAGGACATTTGAGTTAAATGTCTTGAACTTAGTAACTTCATCAATTGGTAAGAAGTAGAGCTAATTACAGTAATTCCCAACACATTTTGAGTGAATATTAGTCACTTCCAAACAAGGGAAACTGTATCCGGACCAAGCCCTTTTAATTTCATGGGTTAAAATTACAAATACGCAGTATTATAATTACGTTCCTCTTAATGTTAAAAGTCAAGTTTGAATAAGTTTTCCATTAAGAGTTCGTCGATTATCTCTACAATATTACCCATGACCATCAGTAGACTATTCAACGAAGAAGAAACCTGTAACTAATGTATTCTGACTTAGATTACTCCTTTCGGTTTGCTTAGGGGCATATAATCTCATAATATAGACGTACATTTCATTCTATTTTTGAAATAGTTAATAGTTGTTTGGAGCCCAACGAAAATTCATGTGGGTTATAACATTTTCACCGGTAACACCCCACATAAGGTTAAGTATGTCTATCAGAGAATGACTCCACAATACACACAGGTTGATTGTTATATTATTTTACTCAATACTATTTGGAATATATAAATTAAAATTTTTAAGACGAAAACATTATCAGGTGCCTTAAAGTAATTACAAGAAGAAAGTGGAGGGTAACTGAACACTAGTTTTGAACCTTGCTGTCAGAACAGTTAATGGCTAACTCTTGCGTCGATATTCAACATGAATTACAAACGTTATATATATATATATACATATATATATATATATATATCCTGTATGTTAACAGACTTGTATCTGGTACTTAAAGTGATACCACAACTGTATTTGCTAAGGAATTCTGAGTTAGATAACAGTATAGAACTCCATGATATACATTAGCAAAAAGCGGTCAAAAACGAATTTATATACTTTCAAAGTAATTCAGCATAAGAGAATTTAGTGTCAGATAAAAACAAGTGTTTTATTTAATTTGATTATTTCCGAAAATCATAATCCAATAATCTGAAGATTTTGTTGAACCGTAACTAGATAAGACGTTTAATAACAGAGCTAACAGTACTATGGTAATGTAACCACACATTCAATGATATAAGTAACCTAAAAAATACATTTTAAATCAGATGTATTAAAGGTTTGTTGTTTATCCTCTTTAATTTCAAGAAGTGTATTTTGAATTTTGGAAATACAGTAAATCACTAAGAGTTAACCAAAACATAAGTCTACATTGTTTTAGTTGCTATTTATGATTAACCCATATTGATTTTCAAAATTAATCGTCAGTTCAAACACACGTAGACTAATGTGACTGAAATTTTAATTTCAAGAGAAATTTCCTTAAAATATCTTTACTTTTACTCATTTTTATTTACTTAATGAGCAGAGGTTAAATACTCCAAATGATTTAAAAACGTTTATTTTAAAGCCTAAAAAGATCAACAAATTCGATCAGACCATTTTGACAATTCAGCTATTGTTTGATGTCATTTCCCCAACATCCAATAATTTAGTGTCTTATCTTCATCCTAAAAAATCATTTCCGCCATTCATTCCTATCTGTTTTCAATATTTTCTCGTGTGCTATTAAATCACATCGAATTAGAGAGACCTGAAGTCTTAAGGCTTGTTTTTGGAGATACCTTGTTACAAATGAAAAAATTAGGTGGACTACACATTCTTTTGTTTCAGAAGCACAAAAACTCACTTGCTTAAATCAACTAAAACGATAGATTTGAACTGTCAGCAACTAAGAAAAATTTAGCCATTGAATACCTTCACCTAGAAAAATAATGACAGTCTGAAGTTATCCTCCTATTTTTTTATTTAGGCTATTTGTTTTTTCAGAAACGAAGGATGACTGACTGGAGTTTAATATTTTTATTATTTAACTACTCATGAGTAGTCAAATGTTCTTCATTATTTATTTTGGTCAAGACGAATTCAGATTTGATTTCTACATAAATATTCTCATAAGCCTTTACGTGAATATCAAGCCATTATCGTAAAACATCGTGTAAAGTCAAAGAATCTTGAAAAATCATCACCTCATCTTTTTCACAAATCGATCAACGTATCATAATTTCCATTTAGTAAGCTTCATAACCACAGAAAGGTATTTACTATAACAACAAGCTGTTATAACCTACTTTATGGAAAGCTAGTTGTATAACTCCTCTCATCTAAATGAACAGCTGTATTTCCTTTTTATACCCAACTATATCATAATGGTTTCCTCAAAATCACCTATTAATTACTACGATATTATGAACTTAATGAGGATTTGTAATTTACATGTTTATAGTCATTTGACACCATCTTCAACAGTCAGTAGTAAGAAACATAAAACTGACAAAATAACTGGATCGAAAAAACCAAGATGGGTCAGTTGATGGCACATGATACTTTTCCAGTTCAGGGACGATTGAATGAAGAGGCTGAACAGGCTTAAACCAACTTCACTCAAAGCGTTACAGGTGACATAAAATTCCTGATAAAACGTCCCTCATTAAAAACTTAAACATACTTAATAGGAAGATTATGGAAAAGCGTTCAATAACTGAGTAGTACCAAAAAACTAGTCATTCCAAAAAGTGTTCACTAAAGTATGGATAACTTCAATAAGAATAAATGTCTTTGATAAACCTGGAAGTGAACCTCTGTTCGATACAACGTTGCTTAAAACATGTAGTACTGAGAGCTACCTTAATCATAGATACCAGTATCTATGTGCTGAATACAATCTTTAAACTTCCACCCAAAAATCAGGTGCTACATCTTACTTTGTATCCCTACCAAAGTCTGGGGGTTAAGGATATGAGGAAGCTCACGCCTCCAAAAGTTTCTTCAGATTTCTTGATGATACTCTCAGCCCATTAAATAAAATAATCTTAAAATCTCTTTCCTACGTCTACTTAATAAGTTCCGTCATTGAGTGTTACACTGATCATAAGGTTGAAATAGAGTATCTTGTTCCAATTTTTCTTGGACTGCTCAGTTTTAATTCCAGGGACAAAAAGGCGCTAGGTGCTTTTCATGGACGTTGGAAGTCATTTATGTATTCTAATGTTTAATTAGGTATTATTAAACAGTTTAACAAGGTTTTGAAGAAGTTAGTTTACACTGACAGAAAAACTGATAATAATAAAGCCAAACAAATAACTACGGGAAAAAGGACATTATTAGTAATGACAGACTAATAAATATAACATTGATAGTTAAAGGTTTGATTGACTGACAACAGGGTTATCTCGTGACCAATTAAATATGATCGAAGCACACTCAAATCGGGTTTAAATTCCTTGGATGGAAAAGGTTAAGAGGATTGTTCAATAATGAAAAGTTACAAACTAAAAGTTAATAAAATTTCACCAAATAATAGGGATGCTAAATCTTGAAAATTTGAGTAACCTTATTTAACTGCTCAGTAATTTTCAGTAAAAAAAATCATTTTATTGAAAAACTACGCGTGTAAACAACACAGTGACTAAAATTAAAGTTTTGGCGTTTTTTGACATCATATATGTACTCCAAGTATAACTTGTGAAATCTCCAGCTCAAATTTTGACTGGGGATCATGGTAACTAAAATTACTGTCTCAAAGACATTCATGTCCTTTCACTTGCCATCTCAAATCAGATGATATACGCTGTAGTGTCTAGTATCATTCCAAGCCCACATGAGTTCTTCTAGCTTCCCGACAGACCAATTTGTTTATTACTCTTGAGTCACATTTTGACCTTGTCAATAGTTTGCTTAAAACATTGGTTGTTTTTATATGAGTATAGATGTGTCCATTCATCACATGTCTTTAGTTTGTTTTGTCTGGCTATAAATATTGAGTCATGCTTTATTAAATGAAATTGGCACACTTGCCTTCTCCGGTCTGCCTCTCGACTTCGTTTCTCTGACCATCTGTCTAGATCAACGTATGTGTAAAGCACCCAAAAATCCAAAATTCATTCTCGTATTTGACTACTTTTACTCCATTGTTCTCTGACGCGAATTAAGTGGATAATTATATACGATAGTAGCGGACATTTTTTTATTTGTTAACATCATCACTAGTTCAAACAGGAATCAAATCATTGGGCCACTAAAAGGTCAATATATGAGATAAATTCTGAGGTACTTACAAGATAAGATCAGTTTTTATAAACTGAATAGTGGAATGCCAATTTTCGCCCTTTTATAACAGTTCATGAAAGCTAACATAGCAGTAATCTGCTTTTCTATAACACTGAGGTATTAATCATACGGACGACTATAAACATCTATATCGAAACCCTAGGACCTTGGTAAAATAGCATGAAAATCCTAGTCAGAGAATATACTTACAACATTCACATTTCAAAGTGGGAGTGGAACAATCACACGGAACTTTCTATAACATCAAGCATACTATAAACTTTAATACGATTATTTCTGTCAGGAAAACAGATCAAAACTTTTCATATTATTGTATTATTCTCATCTCGAATGCTGAAATTATTAAACATATGTTTAATTCTATTTACCCTTAGTTTCATTTAGAATTTGACCAGAATTAGGATGACTCAAAAATCATAGTTCCACTTAAAATAAACTCTTTTATCAACATATCTTGGTGGATTTCCCTTTATGGCAAAATGATCTAAGGGACTAAAAAGACTTTATAGGTTCCCTACATAATATTTGTGGTGATAAAAACTTATTTGGAAGTAGCTATACGTCTGAGTCTTACAAAGTCCATCCATTTCATGATGTAGAGAGTGAAATATTGAGACCCACCTGGTCTTGCGTCACTTTGGGTAGTGAACCTTTCAGACGTAGCATCAAAAGGTTTAGGCTGGAAACGCCTTAACCACCTTCTTGAAATCGCACCACTTTTTAGGTCATATGCGTTTGGCCCTGGCGTGTCAATGACTTTCTCTTTGAATCTCTTAACAAATATGAAATAAAATGAAGCTTTTGATCTGTGGAAAATGAAATTAATGATCGAAAATAAAGATAAAAAGTTGTTAATAAACAGTAGTAAGATAATAAGATTTACCTTGAAGTATGAACTATTTCGACAACTAAATTTATGTGCAAAGTGAGTGAAATGTCATTATATATACAGCCCCCGGAGGGGCTACTGGCGAAGTTATTTTCACACATAATATAACTTAAAAAAATTTTCTCTTCTATCGATAAAACTTGAAACTTCTACTTAGCCACTTACATATAATAAAATGAGCTACTTATAAACTCGGTGGAGAAAGATCTACAGTTATCTAGGTAAACTAGAAAAAAGTTGTACAAAAACTCTCATAATAAAAGATAATCCATGCTAAAAACATGTTCCTTCAAATCATATTTTCAGTAGGACAGAAATTTGTTTGAAGTATCTAGGCCTAAGAAACCATCATTTTTAATCAAATCATGAACAAGCAATCCTATATAAACCATTATAAATTGTTGGTTTATCTACAATCACCTGGTCACCGCTTACCCTCTGATGGTCACTTCTAATTTTTTATACATATCTGATTGAAGAATAGGTATTATAGCACTGCTACGAAAACTTAGAGCTCATTAGTAAATCTGTAAGTCTGTTGAATCCATTGTAGTCAAATATCGGTTACAGATATCAATTCTAGTCAGAATTATTGAAAATTGAAAAACGAAGCAGCTAGAAGACACATATCAAGATAAAGATTCTCCACGAGAAATGGAGCCACCGCGATTACGTGGAAAAACTTAACGCTATATTCATTATGTTGGCCTTGTACCAACTTAAACAATCTTTAAAAAACTTAGCGAAGATTAGGTATGAATTACTTGCTCTTCAGTATTAAAAGGCACTTGCACCGCATTAGCCTTAGATATTTGCTTGTCTTGTATGTTGTATGAACAGGGACTAGGGAAGTTCTATTGAGTGGCAAAAAAGTAAAAGAAAAATAAATTCGAAATATTGATAATAAACAAAAGTTTGCAGAATCTGTCATTAAATTATATATATATATATATATATATATATATTTAAATAACATCTAACAACTGTTATAGATGATAAATATTTTTTCCTTCTAATTTTGCTGGATTTAAATGGTATGGGTTATCGCGTTGTAGACATTTTGACTGAAATTCGATCAGTCTAAATTAGTAGATATGGATTTTGTGTGGATTGCCTCGATATATTCATTACGACAAAGAATTGTAAGAACAAATGAAACGTGATTATCGGTGGAATCTATGACGGGCATTTTGTCTTATTTGAGACTAGTCAGCTGGATGTACCTGCATCCCAGAGTTGATGTTTACTCCGACATTCAAATTCGACACTTTTTCGCTTCAAACACTTACGACATATTCACATAGCTATAGAGTTAACATAACCACCTGTGCAACGGATACGATGAGTCGCAAACATGACGAAACAGGCGTCTTTGATTCCGCTACTAGTCATATTTAACCTATTCTATACAAACCTGTGTCATGATGGATATTTCGAGGCAATCCGCACAGAATCCATATATAACGACTTAGACTGATCAAATTTCAGTCAAAATATCAACAATGTGATAGTCCAAACTATTTCAAATTGAATTAAAATTCATACTCGTTGCATTTATGAGAGTCTACGTGGACTCAGTAACCATTTGGATAGATCGTAAACGTTAGAAACTAAAAGTGTCGAGTTGTAATGCCGGAGTGAACATCAACTCTGAGATCCAGGTACATCCAGCTGACTAGTCTCAAATAGGACGAAATGCCCATCCTAGATTTCACGGATAACCGCATTGCTAATTCGACAACTTATGTTATTATCTAATTAACGGAAAATATTTGCTTTTACGTCTCCATGAGTTTTTAATAGACTAGTTTGGCTGTAGCAATAATTTGGGATTACGATTTGTAGTTTCTAATATAAATTAGTTTTCTCAATGAATTTATAATGTAAATAAAGACTACCATTGATCTTCAAAATATTTTGTGTAATGTAGTATTGGTAGTTTAAATTACGTCTGACAGTTGATAAATTACATTCAGATTTTCAATCCATAAACTACATTGATCCTATAGCTTTGCTTCAGGATAAACGGTTAGTTTAACGCTATTATCTTAAGCTCCTCGAACTGGTCTTCAAAAAAAGACACAAACATGGGTTTGTGAATTTAAACTGTAGCGAGTGTTTGTTTTCACAGTACTCCATTCTTATATAAGTACCTAACCATCGTCACAGTGATGTATTTTCATCTTTATTTTGACGAGTCAAATAGTTATTAATTTATTTTCTGAGTTAATGCATGCTTATATATATATATATATATATATATATATATTAACGCAATAATTTTGATTGTTATGTCTCGTATTATTGTAAGGACAACAAATTATTTTGAATCTATATATGTATGATTAATAGCGTTGGTTTAATAATAACAATACTGGTACGAACAAATCGGGTGTAAGTTCTATAAAACAAATAAGTCAAGTTGTTACTGTTAGTTTATTAAATAAAAAAACTGAAGGTTACTAGTTTGAAATGAAGTTAACTTAATCTCTAAAAGTATAATAAATAGTTCGAGCAAAATAAAAAAGATTCTTTTTAACCTGTGCTTGATGATCTTTTAAGTAACGCATTCGACAAAACTTTAAGTATGTTTTCTACTCTTTATGTAAGCTATTATAAGAGAGGCCGAAGAATTATATTATGGGCAGCATGTATCGTAGAAAAAAAGAATAATAATAATAATATATTCTGAAAATAATATTTACAGAATCATTTGCTTAAATTACTTCCTACATAGTAAATGAATATTTTTAATTAATTTCGTAAATCAACTCATGCTTATGCGGTGAATAACAGTGAATCAACGGCTAAACTTCAGTAGTTTGCAGAGGATTTTCTGTTGTCTATCCAAGTAGATAACAAGCTAACTTAAATATCATTTTATTGTTCTTGATCCATATGTTATTTAAAATAATAAACTCAGTTAAAATATAGGTGTGAATCACGACTGGAAACCTAGTAGAAATATCCACGTCACGAAGTTAGCCTTAGGAAATAACAAAAGAGTCAGTAAACTAGGAAATATCCAAATTTAGATACAAAAGGAAGATACTTGTTTGTGTAATTCATAAACAACTTTATCCATGAATCTCGGAACTGCCAAAGGATGTTCAGCCTCAATGTTACTTCTTTCTCTAGCAGTTTCAATAAGTTTTAGCCAAGGATCATTATAAGGATCATATTTCCCTGGACCAACTGAATTTGAAGCTCTGTATGGTAGATAACGTTCCGAAGTCTGAAAGATAGAAACCAAAATACAACGTGGTAAGAATAAAAATTTGCGGAAAGCAAAAGTAACTCATAGAAAATATGCCAGGACATATTTACAATGATCACCATTTTACAACGAATGATAGCTACAAACCGTAATTGTATCAATGCAAAAACTAGAATCATCAGTGTGGGGTTGTGGAGATCGTTACGTTTTTGATTGAGATCATGAATCGATCGATGTTAGACCCCCACTGAAAACCCGAAAGTACTGGACGGATGTTCCGTCCTAGTATGGGACTCCTCGGCGGTGAGCATCCACGATCCTGCATGTGGGATTCAGCCACACATTGAGTTAATTACAGACATTTAGCTTATTTTTTTAAAAACACCTGGATGCATTTTATTGGCCATAAGCCAGTGTTACTTCTAATGACCAGTGGGAATTCAGTCCAAATTATTGAGACTTTAAAATATTCCTAAATATTATCACCTGTAGTTGGCAGTGATCTGTAAATTGGCCCCGAGAAATCTTGAAGTGTTGCCAATTTTAAATTCTGTACAGAAAAAATATTTTTAATACCAAATAAAGGAATGGTTTCCCCTCCATTATAACTACATGATAATTTGCCTTCCTATATTTTACATACTTGACTTTAGTGACGTTCATCAAATTCTGTATGAGCACACTGTCCTTGAAAATTCTATTTCGGTATAAAATACTATGGTTACTGCAATATATTCATAAAACAAAGTTTTTTAAACAATACTTCATTTATTTTTAAGGTTAAGTCTATCGTTTATCGGTAGATTATTATTTGTAAACTGCGGAATATAGGAGAATGCTTTGTATATATGCTTTCCTAAATAAAGAATATTGACCTGTAGCTAAAGTAGAAGATTAGAAAATAACGCTGTAAATTTTCAAGGAAATAGTTAACTAAGACTGTTTCATGTTGTTATACAGCTTCTGTTTCTGTTTAATAAAATCATTGCTATAAAATTTAAAATTAATATTATGATTCCCTACAAGAATATATGGTTTACGACGGTGTGAAACTTAAACTTGGATAACCTAGGATTACTTAACTACCAAAGAGTAATCTTACTTTAAATATCACAATTAAAAACATCGTTCAAAAAAATCAACTGTAATGAAAATCGCAAAAGAAAAACTCACACTCTTTGACCAACCACACCCTTTATACCGCGTAAAAACAGGGTCTTTGGTAGGCCCATAAAACGCTGGACCAAGTGTTACATCCCTTTTTGGTCCAGATTGAGGGTGAAGTCGACCATCTAGACCCTCTTCGTAACCATGCACATAGTCACCAGAAGGTATGCTCGGTACATCTCGAAATCGAACATCAGGAATTATCTCGTACTGAAACGGAATTTACCGTGAATAAGAACATCGAATTTAGCTTCAAATAATAAACATTCTGAGATGACATGAACAGCAAATAAACCGTGTCATACGAAAATAAACCCTGATTTATCAATACATCATTCACAATTCTCAAAAATAACAGTGAATCGCACAGTCTACTTAATTAAATAGGTATTCTTTCTACCGTACTCTGAAATGACTTACAATAACCCATCAGGCATAAACATTAACAAATCTTTGGAATTATTACATGTTTTAAGAGGTCCTTATTCTTCAAACAACAGTGAGAATGTCTGTGAAACAAAAAACCAAGGAATGTTGACGGTCTTCATAAGAATTACTTAATTTCTAAGGATTTGAAATGATTTACTGACAAGGAAAGATTTTATGATGGTTTGTGATATTCCTAAAAGACTACTTATAAAACTCCAAATTAAGAAGAAAAGTTCCTTTGAGAAGTCTATCTGCAGTATTTAAGTAATATAGTGAAAAATGCAGCTCACCGGAGCCTTGTCTAGGGTATTCTGAGTAATTTGATTACATACTGAAAATGTGCAAGGTATGTGGTAAATAAAGATGTCAAATTAAAACAATGAAAAATATGAGAAAATGAGGACAAAATGAAAGGACAGCATTGTACACACAGCTATTCCTTTAATCATATTAACACGTAACTTAATATCGAGTGTCGAGGTGTGGGATGGTTTGGCATATGTGATATGTCCTAATCACCTGAGTCGATGAAGATTCATAACCTCACCAATTAATCACTAATCTTTGCCTAGAATCCTCATCACTCCTCACTCAGTGGTCCCAACATACGGTAGCAGTAATTCGAGGACACCGTTGGCTAAATACCTCTTACTGGGTACTTGGAAATCATTATTACGACCACTTCCCCTCCGTAAATGACTTTTGCCAATTTATGTTAATTGTGGCTTAAGAGAGATATCTGTCTACGAACTGAAGAATGAGCTTACTGTGCACCAGTTCATTCCATCCTACTCTCTGACTGTGAAGTATGGTCTTTAAAAATAGAGGATATTATTAGGTTACTAGTATTCGGTCCTAAATGTCTTCAAAGTATTGCTCGTACATTTTAATACCGTGAAGTTAGCAATTGAGATTAAACTCAGAATATTAGGTAAGTATGGCAATTGGACTGATGAGATAGTGAATCTTAATCGACTAAAATGATAGCTGGTGTAGGAGTAGGTCGAAAGAAAGTTAGGGTTGGCCAAAGCAAGACACAGAAACAGTCTATGAAGATTAGATTATATTTTATCGAATAGTATCTTTGATGCCTAATCTTTTCTGCAAACATTCATATTGTTACTACTTCTACTACTCAAGGATGAAATCTGACAGTTTCATCTCGCTGTGCTTATAGAGTATAGGAGCTTGAACCGATAAACACATGTGCCAGGATCCATGTTGCGTTTGATTGACTAACTGATGTAATTATATTTCTTAAAACCACCTTTTATCCTGTCTCACCCTTACAATTCAAATAATTTGCTATTGTCATCCACTAAAATTTATCTTTCACTTTACGATGAATACTTTCGAAAAATTTGTGTTCCTATGCCTACTCCTTTAGAAACCTTATCGACCGAAATGCTTGTTCCTTTAAAACACGTGTAGATTATATCGTTGGTATCTGTGACAGCTGATTATCGTTAAATTAAGTTCTGCTACGAACGCTTATCTTTCCGAATTTTCAGATCTCATATCCGATCATAGTGAAGAGGTTGACAAGAACAGAAATATGGAAAGGAAAATAATACAAAATGCAATGGAAAGCTTAGAACTAAATAGAGAATAAAGTCACTTTCGGCTTGAAAATGAAATAAATAATTAATGATCTTTTTTCAATATACTTATTACTGTACAGAAAACCAAGATGACCAAACTTTCTTTCTAAAAGAAGGTCTATACAGGTATACATATTTTATGGCTGGATTGACACAAAGGAGGTTTGATAAACTATCTGCTTATTATAATTAAACATGTCTCAACAGAAAACCTAATGGGGTAAGAAAGCAACCAGTTAAATAAAACAATTGTATATAATATATACCTTCTCAATGTCTGTAAACTGATAGGGAAGACATATATTCTGTTTTTTGGTTACATTGAACCTACTCGTTGCTTCGATTCAGAGAGATGTCAAGATAAGTTGTGACAAACAGATAGGTCAAATAGAAATATCAGTTTTACACTGACATCTGATCCAGAAGAAACCAAAGTTACTACTAAATGAAATTCAAGTTTACCCTATAACCAAAGATTGGCAAGTGCAATATGTAATCTGATAGAAGATACAAGGAATATAAAAATTAAAAATATATTATTGATCTACTCAGTATTTAACAAATATTCATCAACTTAAATAACTGTCCAACTTATAATTAGTCTATATTCTTAGATAACGGCATGACCAACTTACAGAAGTTAACCGTTTTCCCCTGTCTTGTTCACTGGCTGACTGATTTTTCATCTTTTCCGAAAGCCGAGGGCTATGCGGATCCGCTTTCCTGCCTGCCCATTTTGATACTATATTATATGTTTCAGGTCCTGGTCCATCTGAGTGAAACGATGGAAACCGCTTAGCCTTATTTGCAATAGAACTACATCCCTGTATGGATTGAGAGGGCAGAAATACGATTAAAATAAGAAATACATGGTTCCTACAGTTACATGAATGCGCACAAAAATGACTATAGAGCAATACTTTTAAGTATGAAATACAGGCCATTCAAAATCAATAAGATCAATTTAATACTTTTAAACTGTTTACTTAAAAACGAAGGTAATTATTTACTTTGATTATTAGATAATATCGTTGAAAAATTCGGTATAATTATTGAAATGTTTAATATTATCCACATTAAAATATAGGACATGTTTCCCATAGGTCCGGTTGAAATGAAACGCCAACTTCTGACTGTGAACTCAAAGGCTCCATGTTATCAGGTAATAAAAACTTTCAAGCGAACGCTTTACACAATTTCAAAGCCACCCCATGCTATAAAGACTTAAAATGTACATGAACTATTCGTTAATTCAGAATATAATTGGTTTTCATAATAACTACTAATGATGCATTTTTTCTCATAATAGTAACTATATTTAAAAACTTGGGGCTTAAGTTATCCTCAACTCCTTTGATGTTCACTAATTGTGTTGCACTCGATAATTCCAGTCGTTTATTAGCTCATTTATTGAGTGAAAGTTGTATATTACGGTATAATTTTCACTAAAAGTCTTGTTTTAAACCCTGAGTTTCGATACGTTTGTGTTTTTACCTGCTATCTAGGGCTACGTTACAGTGAACAAGTAGATAGCAGATAGTTGTCGATAATTTCGTAAGCCTAAAATAAAATCTTTAGCTGAAAATGCACTATAATATATATTATTTACCCTTGAATGGACGGAAAATAACTTTAAGTGCTGAGTACAATAGACTCAGTAAACAGTAAAAACATTGTGGATGACCTCGGCCAAAACTACCTAACACTGAACAGAGATTCTTCACAAGATTCTTTCTAAACTTCTACAATCAAAATTAAACAAATATTCCAAGCTAGAAAATGTAACGCTCTAAACTGTGACTCACACATTACAGACTGGTATGCTGAATATATATATATATAATTATTTGAGATTAACATCAAGAGTTACGACCACAATTATACCTAAATAAATACTTTTATTAGTTTGTATTCTTTTTTATTAACATCCAGTTACCTCCATTGATCATCGCTTCCTTACTTATTGGTAAACGTCTACTTGTCCATAATTATTTAATCACTTTTAGTTATTATTTTATCTTAGAATGACTAACGAAAGACTGCTTAGGTTTCAACTAGTAACTCTTCAAACAAGCTATTTCATAAAATTCAGTTTCCTTGTAAAGGGAAAAATATGACTAGTTTTAACGATATCTAATCTTAATATAAGGGCATATTTTCATTTTTACAATCCCTGATTTGATGTATAGAAAATTTGGTAGTGTGATACTATTTATGATTACAATTTGCTTACACCATATTAATACTTATGTTCATCTTTATTTCCCGGTGCAATGACAAAATAGATGTGGCGATTTTAAATTTTGTTTGTGCCTATTTTAAGTAAAAATAGTACAAAATTGGTGCCCAGAAATATCTTTCCTCCAAGTCCGTGGAAGATAAATGAATAAATTTTAAACCCATCTACTGTCGATAAAAGTTGACTATTCACGTTTACTACATTTACCTGGAGCTCGTTCATATATAGTTTACGGTCAATTTTCAAAAAAGCGCAAAGGTAGTTCCTAATCTAGCGTTTCTGCATTCATATTTGAAGATAGACTTTTACTGAGAGAGTGGGTTAAAACTGAATATCTCTTCTTTTTTAACTCATCACCATCGGTTAACTTTAAATACTAAAGTCCTTTAGTTTTTAAGACATTTTGTAGCAACCTTTCCATATAAAAAGCGTTTGTTCTGAAAACCGGTCCAGTCTATGAAGTTCTTATAAAAAACTATCACCAACTAGTGTTATAGATTTGATTTTATTGGGTAAGCTATATTGGTTTAATCACTGTTTGTTAAACTATTTTGTTTTTAGAAGACATATTCATCTGAAAAGTACAAATTATATTCTACAAGATTAGGTCTGTTGGCGACACTAAGTCCCATGAATGATGATAAAAAATGACTTCCCGAGTTGGAATGTCGGAGTTAACATCAACTCTGAGATGCAAATACACCCAGCTGATTAGTCTGAAATAGGACGAAATTCCCGTCCTAGATTCCACTGCTCGCCACTATTTATGTTTGCTCAAGCTTCATATTCTGCTAGATAACGCAAATATTTTATACGTCCTCAAATAAAGCTGATTTCGTATTACCGCGAAGTTTATCTACTTTTACGGCAATTAAAACCTAATCTTTGCCATCAGTTATTTAAAGCTAATGGTTTGTTTATATGCAGGGGTAATGACAAACACAGATTAGGCCTTGGGACCTAGGCATTCATATAACCCTCAGCCTTTTTAAATCAATATAATATTCAAGGATTACGTGAGAATAACTAATGTGATGTGATTATTAATCGATGCCAATTAGTAAGGCCAAATTGGTTTCATAAATTCATCAGTATCTATGGACAGTTCTTATAAATCTGCTGTAAATTCACCAAGTCCGCCACTAATTTTTATTTTATATGAGACTAAATAAAACAGCGTAATGGGCAAAAGAGCTTTTTGACCTAAAATTAAAATATTTTAACGAGAATGGTACATATATAGAGTCATAAATAAGTCGTTTTGAAGAAAAGACATTCATTTGAGCCCCAATCTTACCAAAAAAGCAGCTATTCCTAAATCTTTAGCACATGTTCGATAACATAGCCGAGTTTGTCTCAAATAAAATAATGCTTTTTGTCCAAACACCATGAGGTCATCTCTCAGATTCAGTTGTTTTTTATCTTACTTACCTACATACGCCTGTTATCCCTCGTAGAGGAGCATAGGCCGCACACCAGTATTCTCCATTTAACCCTGTCCTGGGAAATCTTTTTCAGTTCTTTTCAGTTAAAATTCATCCTTTTCATATCTGCTTCTATTTCCCGAGGTAATGTGTTCTTTAGCCTTCCTCTTTTCCACTTCCCTCCCGAATTCCAAGTTAGGGCTTGTCTGGCTTTGTGATTTCCTCAACGTATGTCCTATCCACTTCCAATGTCTTTTCCTAATTTCATCTTCAGATGGAGGCTAGTTTGTCCCCTCCCATAAAACGCTGTTGCTGATAGTATCCGGCCAGTGAATGTTGAGTGTTTTGCGTAAACAGCTGTTTATAAATACATGTACCTTCTTGACGATGGATGTAGTAGTTCTCCACGTTTTAGCTCCGTAAGGTAGAACTAACTGTCTCGGCGTTCGTATCGAAGATTCTCACTTTGAAGTTAGTTGAGAGTTGTTTTGAGTTTCATATATTCTTCAATTGTATGGACGCTGTCATTGCTTTGCCAATTCTCGCCTTTACGTCTGCATCAGATCCTCCATTTTTCATCAATAATGCTTCCCAGGTACGTGAATGTTTCCACCTTTTCCAGAGTTTCTTCACCGACTGTGACTTGGTTATTGTTCTCCGTGTTGTATTTGAGAATCTTGCTTTTTTCTTTGTGTATGTTGAGGCCTATTGATGCAGAGACTGCTGCTACATTTGTTGTCTTCATCCGTATTTGTTCGTGAGTATGAGATAGGAGAGCTAGGTCAAATCGTCCAAATCGTCTAATTCATCCTGAAATGTTGATTGTATTCCGTGCTTTCTCTCAAATTTCGAAATCTTCATAATCCAGTCAATCACCAGAAGACAGAGGAAGGGGGAGAGTAGGTGGCCTTGTTTGACTCCTGTCCTTATGGAAATGCATTAGCCAGCTGTCCTCCATGCACAACCTTGAACTGTAGTCCGTCGTATGAGTTCCGGATTATGTTGACAATCTTCTGAGAAACTCCATAGTGTCGAAGTTTTCCACACTGTAAACCACCTTCTCATAGTCAGTGAAGTTGATGTATAGTGACGAGTTCCACTCAACTGATTGTTCCACGATGATCCGTAGTGTCGCAATTCGATCTGTGCTCGACCGATCCTTGCGGAATCCAGCCTGTTGATCTCGAAGTCGGGCGTCTACTTCGTCTTTCATCCGGTTCAGCAGCACTCTGTTGAAAACTTTTCCTAATACTGATAACAAACTGATGCCTCTGTAATTCTCACATTTGCTCAGATCTCCTTTCTTTGGTATCTTGATGAGGTATCCTTCTTTCCAGTCCGTCGGCACTTATTCCTCCTCCCAAATCTTCCTGATTAGGTAGTGATGCATGTTTGCAGTTACTTCAATGTCTGATTTCAGTACTTTAGCTAGTATATTGTGAGGTCCTGCTACTTATCCGCTCTTGATTTGTCTGATGGCCATCTTGACTTACTGGATCGTTGGTGGAGAGACATCTATAGGAAGGTCTGTGTGTGCAGCCTCCATGCTCGGTGGATTCAGTGGAGCTGATCTATTCAGAAGTTCCTCGAAGTATTCTGACCATCTTTTTCTCTGTTCTTGAATCTCTGTGATTGTATTTCCTTCTTTGTCCTTGACTGATCTCTCCGACTTACTATATCCCCCTGCTAGTTTCTTTGCTGTATCATATAGTTGTTTCATATTCCCTTCCCTTGCAGCTTTTTTCGCCGTCGTTGCTGGTCCCACCATGTATTTCTGATTGTCGGCTTTAATGCTTTTCTTCACTTCCTTGTTTGCTTTTGTGTACTCTGCTTGCGCCTTCATTTTCTTTGTTCGTGTTCGACTGTTGTTAATTACTGTCTTCTTGTCCCTCCTCTCTTCAATCTTGTCCAGAGTTCCCATAGAGATCTATTCCTTATGATGATGCTTCTTGCGACCCAGAATCTCCTGACACCTCGAAGTTAGTGCTTCTTTGATCCCTCTCCAGTTACCCTCTATCTTAGTTTCTTCTTTCAGTAGATCCTGTAAAGCTTGGAACCTGTTGTTGAGAGTTATCTTGAATTCGTTGAGTTTGTGAGTATCTCAAAGGAAGGTTATATTAAATCATTGTAGTGCTGTTTTTCCAGTTGCCCAGTGTTTCTTTA